TCGATTAGTGTGTCTGCATGGCACCAAGGAGATGAGGTGGCACGTGTGCCTTCTGGTCCCCCTGCTGATTTAACACACCTCTTCCTATAGTAGGTAGGTATCTGAGGCCCAGAGAGGGAGGGATGGGCCTGATGGTCCCAGCCTAGATGGTGACCCCAGACCACAGGGAAACAGTCTACTGCCAGCGTCTCCCACCTGGATGGGCCATGGTGCTGCCTGGGAGTGAAGCATCCTGGGTCAGACAGGCTGGGGGTCCCCTCTGCTGCCCCAGGACGGGAATGGGGCTTAGCACAGGGACACCGCTGCCCTCCGGATGGACTCGGCCGCCCCCCACCCCACCTCAGTGACTCAGTGACAGGCAGGGGAGGGGCCCCAAGGGCCCTGGCAGGGATGTCCTCTCCTCACAAGGAGCACCTGACCAGGGACAGGTCATGTGTTTACGAGGCCCTCGCAGCCCGGTCGGGCACAGCTGAGCCAGATACCCACCTGCCGGGGCTGGGCCATTCCGCGCACAGGGGACAGTGCTGTGGGGCTGGGGCCTGCGGTCAGACGACTCTGCCGCCTCCGTTTCCGCAGCTCTAGGACAGGGTGACAACGAAGCACCCAGAGACGCTGGCTCAGCACTGCCTCGGCCCATGGCTCGCACATTCCAGGGACCGCCTGGGTGCCTGTGGGCCCTGAGCGGCCACTGGGCAGGCGGTGGGCTGAGAGAGCAGCTGCTGGGCAGGGTGACCGTGGGGAGGAATGTGCGAGGCGGTCCTCACACCAGCCCCTCGAGGCAGGGGTGAGGCGACCCTCCCCTTTACGGAGGGATCCAGGCACAGAGCAACTAAGGGGCCTGTCCACGTCACCACCCGCGAGGTGGCACAGCCAGGATGCAGACCCACCGCCTGGCTCTGGAGTTCGGGCGGCGAGTGTGTAGACGCCAGCCTCAGCTGTCCTCCGGTCGGTCCCCGCCCACCCTGCGGACTTAGTGTCACCATCCCCGTTTTACAGACGGGAAGGCAGAGGCCCCTGGAGATTGGAACCTGGCCCCGGGGTGGCCGCGGGGGCCGTGGCTTGGGTGGGTGTACCCGGGAGCTTCCTGCACTATTTGTATCCTCGGGGGCTGGGGGGCTCCCTGTCGGCCCCCACAGATAGGAATTTCTGTGCAGTGGGCAGCGATGGGCCGATAAGCAGCCTCCGGCCAACCGCCGTGGTGGCCGCCCCCTATCAGACCCCAAACAGGCCACACTTATCGCCCGGCCGGGAAGCCAGAGAGGCCCCGTGGGCTCTTATCTCACAGGGGCCGCCGTGCTGGCGATAGGGTGGCAGGCTTGCGTGGGCCGCCATCCCCGAGGGCAGTGCCCAGCCCAGGGACCGGCCGGGGGACAGGGGTGTCCAGCGGGGCCTTCGCTGCAGGTCCCGGTGCCCTGCGAGGTTCCCCGGCCCTCTCCCCTCACTGTCCCTCTGGGCCCCGCCCCTTCGTGTCTCCTCCCACCCCACCATCTGCGTCTGTCTGTTGATCTCCACCTGCCCCCCCTGCCCTGTCCCCCATGGGGAAAAGTGCAGCCCTGGGGACCCGACCTGTGCCTGGGGGCACCCCCGCCTTTCCCTCTGGGATGGCGGGCTGGTCTGGACCACAGCGCACCCTGTGCCGCCTGGCTTTGAGGAGGGACTGGGCCCCAAGCCTCAGTTTCCCATGTGAGCTGCGTGAGGGTGGGCCCTGGAGGCCAGGGCTCGTACACACCTGGTGCTGCCCCTGCAGGTGGTCGCCCCCATCTCGCCTTTCTGGCCACCGTGTGCTGGCCAAGACTTGGCCTGTGGGTGAGACCCGTCGCCCAGGGAGGGTGCTGACACTGCAGGGTCCCAGGGGCAGGTGACATCAGCCCGGCAGAGAGGCTGGGTCTCGGTGCCTCTCTCCAGCTGCATGGTGGGTGCAGCGCGGCTGCCCTGCCTACAGCAGCCAAGGCCCCGAGCAGGTGGCCACAAAGACCCCCAGGAGATACCACACGGCCCCAGGCAGGAGGGAGGCCTCTCAGCTCCTGTGCTCCCAGGGGGCTCTCGACACGTGCTGCAGACACAGTGAGGTCCTGGACCCTTGAGGGCTTTGTAAACACGAGAGTGCGGGTGTGCAAGGGGCCTGTTCTCTCCTGGCCTTGTTACTGTCCCCACGCTAGCTCCCTCCTCCCACCCGTGACCCGGCGACCCCAGAGCTCCCGACCCGGGCTGTGATGTGGTCAGAGTGTCGTGTTCACTTTCGGACGTCGTGACCATCATCAGGTCACTAGCTGCCGGCGGCTAGTTCTCAAGTGTGGCTGCTTCAAGTGGGAACCACCCCCACCCCAGCAGTGCTGAGCAGCCGGAGCCTGCCCGCCTGCCTGGGCTGGGGTCCAGCTTCGCTGAGCGACTGTGGGCTGGTTACTCAACCTCTCTGGGCCTCAGTTTCCTCATCTGTACAAGTGGGACGCAGGGCAGAGCAGCTCCCCACTCAGTGCCATCACCTCGCCCTGGTGGCCCGGGTGCCTGTGGGGAGGGGAGGGGACGTGTAGGCAGGTTCCAGGGAGAAGCTGCCCTCTGAGACCAGAATTCCGCTGTCGAGCAGGAAGGCACCGCCACCCCTCGGCCAGCCGAGCACGTGGCCATGGAGCAGGGCAGGGGGGATCCACCTCTCATGCCCCTACTGGTGATGGGCACCTTGGCCCAGGGGTCCCCACTGACCGTCAGGAACCCGGGATCCAGGCTGGGTCCGAGACCGCTTGGCCTCGGAGATGTCACCTCCCTCCTCTGAGCAGTTTGGGCGGCAGCCGCCATGTGGGTGGGTGAGGCTGGAGCAGAGGCCACGCTGCACTGCACGGTGCAGGGTGAACGCCCACTGCCTCGGGAGAGGCCGGGGCGTCCTGCGTCCTCATGGAGCCCAAACGCCACCGGCGAGCCAACCGTGGACTGGGTGGGAAGGCAGGGGTCCTAGACAGAAAGGTGACCCTGAGGGGCCTGAGGGCACAAGGTCCGCGTGGACGTGGGAGCGGGGAGTGCCAGGCAGAGGCACAGCCCACACCAGGCTCCCGGGGGACTGAGCAGGGTGCCAGGTGGGCGGGGGGTCTGGTCCCGAGGGAGATGGGGGTCCCCTGGGCTTGCCTCAGGGAAAGTGGATGAGAGCAGAGCAGGGGACCCACCCCCAGCTGAGGGTCTGTGGGGGACGGTTACAGCCCGCCGTGGGCAGGGGGCTGCCCTGCCCGGCCCTGCCCAGCCCTCCCCAGCCCTCATCTTCTCTTGAGCCCCTGGCTGGAGTGTGAAGGGAGAGCGGTTGGGCAGCAGGGACCCAGAGAGCTGGGTATTTTTATCTTTGAAATGACCTTGTTCGCTTGAGGGGCTGGCTGTTTAAAATTCTGATATGCAGATGGCTGAGAGCTATAATCTGAAATCCCCAAAGCGCATCTGGGAGGGTAGCTGCCACTGCCTTAGCTCTGTGGTCCCCGGTGCCCTCTGCCCATCAGGGTGCGTGGCCCCCAGTGACCTGCTGCCCCCTCTGTCTCCACACTTCAGCAGAGGGTCGGGCAGACAGGCAGCCGCCACAAGGGCTGAGAGCCCTGAGGGTCCCTTCCGACTGTGGGGTCCTGAGCCTGCCACCTATTTCATGACCCCCGTCGGAGCCTCTGTCCAGTGGCAGTGACCATGACCTCAGACTCCTGGCCAGGTCATGAGAACACGGAGGGAGGGCAGCGAGTGGACGCTAGGCCTGGGTTTGGAGCCCCAGTCCTGGGTTTGGGGCCCCAGGGGTCTGGGAGCCTCCTCTGCGGCCAGATCTCGTGGGGGGTCCCCTCCACCCAGGGACTTGCCTGGGGTGGACCAAGCAGGTGTCACTCCTCTGCCTTCCCCCCCCCCCCCCCCACACAGTCCGGGGTCAGTTGTG